GGGGTCAGATCCTCCCCAGAACCAGCCTGGAGTGGTCAGGGAACCCCAAAATGGGGTCACATCATCCCCAAAAGCAGCCCTGCACCAGGGGCACAGCCTGGAATGGTCAGGGCATTCCAAAATGGGGTCACAGCCTCCCCAAAACCAGCCTGGAGTGGTCAGGGAACCCCAAAATGGGATCACAGGCTCGGAGTTTGGGTTGGGAGAACCCTCAGCACCATCCCAGGTGGGGTTTGGGGTCAGGAGGACCCTCAGGACCATCCCAGATGGGGTTTGGGGTTGGGAGGGACCCTCAGGACCATCCCAGGTGGGGTTTGGGGTCAGAAGGACCCTCAGGACCATCCCAGGTGGGCTTTGGGGTTGGGAGGGACCCTCAGGACCATCTCAGGTGGGGTTTGGGGTCAGAAGGACCCTCAGGACCATCCCAGGTGGGGTTTGGGGTCAGAAGGACCCTCAGCACCATCTCAGGTGGGGTTTGGGGTGACTCCAGCTGGGTCAGTCCCTGTGCTCTGTCCCTGCAGCCTGGCCATGATGATCCAGATCCTGCTGAAGCTCGACAGGCTCGACCTGGCCAGGTGGGACTGGGCTTTCTCTTTTTCCCTTTTCCCCCTTTTCCCTTTTTCCCCTTTTTTTTCCCTTTTATTTCCCTTTTTTTCCCTTTTTTTTCCCTTTTATTTCCCTTTTTTTCCCTTTTTTTTTTCCCTTTTTTTTTTCCCTTTTTTTTCCCTTTTTTTTTCCCTTTTTTTTTCCCTTTTTTTTCCCTTTTTTTTTCCTTTTTTTTCCCTTTTTTTTCCCTTTTTCCCTTTTTTCTTTTTCCTTTTTCCCCTTTTCCATTTTTCCCCTTTTCCCCTTTTCCCTTTCCCTTCTCCTTCCCCGTTTCCAGGAGCCAAGCCAGGCCTCTCCTGGTGCAACAAACCCCAGAAAGCTCGAGGGGAAAACCCCAAATTTGTTCGATTTTGTGCTGAGATCCCTTTTCCTTTGTCCTGCAGGAAGGAGCTGAAGAAGATGCAGGAGCAGGATGAGGATGCCACCCTGACCCAGCTGGCCACGGCCTGGGTCAACCTGGCCCTGGTGGGTACCCAGGGGGAGCCAGATGGACCCAAAATATCCCCAAAACA